AGAGACAATAAATAACGCGTACAAGACATCCCTGGTGGTGCAGGTGTCCTATGGCAACAGTAAACGATTTACCATACACAGATATCTACATTAGATAGACTACATGCTTGTTTACCACCTTCGTGGTATAAAAAGACAAAGCTGCTTTTATTTAATGGATTATAATATAAAAGTAACCCCACCTGTGCTGATGCTACTGCTTACTACCAGGTAGGATATGTACAAGGTGATGTCAGGTTAGTAGACTTAAAATGACGAATTAATCACAACGGTTTCCAGGTATACCTGGGAGGACATATAGTTTGCTATTGGGCTACTGGGCTACTGGCTCATGTTATTGTTAATCTAATCCTTAAAAGTGGTTTATTGTCATCAGTTTACGTCATTATAATACGTATGATTTTTGAATTGAATGAATTTATAAGCAACATGTTTCTTCTTCGGAAAATCTTGAGATTTCCTTAATGTTTTTGCATTCGATTGGCTTGTGGTCTCGGCATAGAATGGGCCACCCTTTCCATTGCCGTAGGTGTGGTAAGAGTCGACTAAGGGAATTTAATGGTCAAAGAATCAAACATCACCCAAGTATAACTGTGGTTACCATGCCGCGTTTCTAATGTGGCAACTACTAGCAAAATCACTCTTATGGGGGAAGCCTTTGTTCAACAATGGACAGTTAACGGCTGATATAATAATAACAATTGCTTTTAATCAGATTTATTACCGTAATAGTTCCATACAATTTTTTTCACAAGTAAATCCGGTTTTCTGTGGAATAAAATCTTAAATTATTGTCCTCATAATATTCATCTTTTAAAGTAAATCAATTTATAAGAGTGATAAACGTTTGGTGAAACATGATACAACAATACTGGCAAATGTAAGATGATTCATAAGTTTATTAGTTCTATTTGTAAATAAAATGCTAGTATCAAGTCGATATGTCGGTGTACAGTGCTCAGGTGCGCTATAAAGACGTTTTTCTTGTCTCGGGTCGCGGTTGCACCGCTGTGCCATTGCTTTAGTGCTGGCACATTACAATAAAATGTATCGATAAAATTATTTCATGTAAGTATATATTTAATAACTATGTTTGTGTTCGTAATAAGTAAGTACCTTTTAGTGAAGCGTTTAACTATTGTGTGATTGTTTTATTCTAAATAAAATTGCGTAACTAATAATGTTAAATGGTTACCAGTTTCCATCAGGTGGGCCGTCAACTTGTTTGTCATTCTAAGTTGCATAAAAAAACTAATGACAAGTTAACTGTTGTAATTGATTGGTATCGAAACTAAATTACTTTGTTATTATTTTATTATATATATTATTTGTATACTTCATTAATATTATTGTTTATATCATAATCAAAATAATTCCATACCACAATGCTTTCTTTGGAGAAAATTGCAGTTTCATGAATATTGCTGTTGGATTATAGATTTTTATACACTTTCCGTAATTTTTTATTTATTAAATATTATTAGCATTACCAAGCATCATATGTTTGAACATTTGCCTTTTTTATGCAACTTAAAATGGCAAAAAAGCTGACGGCCCACCTGAAAGTGGAAAGTGGCAATCGTCGACTATAGACATGAAATATACCATGGCCATAACAGAGTATACAGTGTCGCCCATGATATCCTTCACGCGTTGCCACTCCTGAAGACTAAGGTGTTATGTTTTTGTAAACTGTAATTTTATTGCTATATCAAACGCTTTAAACCGAAATACAGCTAGGAAAATATAACTGCTTTACGGCAGAAACATGAATGGGATAGAGGTGCCCAAGCAGACGACTTTTGTACAATATCTCCCTCTGGTAATTGTCTGTATGAGAATGAAAAGATTAATAAATTAAAATATCATCGATAAATAAAATCCCGATATTTTATTTATCGACGATATTTTAAATTAGCCCATCACTACAACGAAAGCATCTATCAAACTATGACAAATATTGTTTTTACTGTGTGCCGGGACGGCCGGGATTTACTGGAACGCCAACTACAAGTATGAAGGATTTTAAACATATTTCAGGGAGAAATCTCTTATATAATATAAAGCTCCGGCGGACTGCTTTGAGTAAATAATCCCGCGGGATTTACTAAACATCTCAATTTATAGATACTTCATTCTTAAGGTAATAGGTATTGTTTTTTGGAATGCAATAATGTTTTTTTCGAATAACTATTGAATCAGAGAACTAGTTAAGTACGATATTACTGCTATGTTAGTAATTCAATACAAAACTTTATATTTTAGTATATATATATATATATATATATATATATATATATATATATATATATATATATATATATATATATATATATATATATACGACCAACTTGGTCCGCCAAGTAACCGCCGTTACGGGACTGTCAGTTGCAGCAGCCCTGTGAAAAGCTGAAGACCGTGCAAAATGGAATAACATCATAAGAGAGGCAACAGACACCTTTCAAGGACACGACCTTCAGTAATGAAGAGAACGAAGAGAGAGAGAGAGATATATATTTAATATAGAAGACATCATCATCATCATATCAGCCGTTAACTGGCCACTGCTGAAAATAGGGATCTCGCATGAAGAGAGTTTTAACTCACCTTGAGTTATTAATCGCAGTTGGGCTTTGGTCATGGTTTCAGAGGGACGCTGCTGCCATCCATCGGCTATGAAGTTTCCTTACTTGCCTTTTACGACACTCACAAGAATGGAAGGGGTGGTCATACATATACACATAGAAGACACACTAATAATATATATAATTTTTGTATTGAATTCCAGAATTTCCGTTATGAGTAACTGTGAATCAATACAAATATACTTAATAATAAGTGCCACACGATCACTCAAACTCCTTCCAAATGTTGTACTTACTGGCCAGTTATTTATTTATATATATATATATATATATATATATATATATATATATATATATATATATATATATATATATATATATAAATATATTTGGTAAGTCTTACAGATCTACCAATACATTCACCAAAAACCAAAAATAGAACATTATAGTAATGGAAAAATAATAATAAAACAAAGTAATTATAATATAAAAATAAACATTATAATGCAATTCTGCTTAATTTATTACCGCCCTACGAAACTGTGGCAGTACAGAGAAAAAGTTTAGTTCTAAACTCGCTGCTACCTCATTGAGCAGACGTAGCGTCCTCATGAGTGGTGCCTGATCAGCATGGAATGTTATAAAAATGTTATGTAATCGGTCATTTCAATTAAAAATAATGTTGGAAACACTAGACGTACTTTTTATTTATCTGGTTGTCTATATAAGTATATAATTGGTCAGCCGCCTTTGCATTGTTGGTCGGAACTGTTGGGCTCAAGAAAGAGTTACTATAACAAACGAAGACTGTACTACAAACATTTAAAATCGAAACATTATTAAAAAAGACGAATAAACAAATGTATCAAGATATTAAAAAATTCTATAAAAATGTATGAACTATGCTTAAATTAAAAACTTAGTAACGAAAATATTTACAACACTCCAAAAATAAATGCAAGGCTTCTTGGACGATGATAAAGAAAAATACGAACATACGACAGACTAAAGATGACATAGATAGAATAAATTAAAACAGATAAAGACAAAATAATTTTATTTTTTGCTTATTTTATAAAATATAAATATATGCATGCCTACATCGCTTAAGGCAATTAAACATGCGCCAAATTTAATATTACATAGCCTTTGTTATAAATTTTTACTGGTCATTGCAAATTAACTTATTTAATTTCAAGAATCGCTATTTTCAGCACCTGAACCAATTCACAAATATTCGTTTTCTAATGGAGAAAATTTTATTTTAGCCCTGATATTTTATTTACTCAGTTCTCACTAACACTGTATCAACAATTCTATTACATATGTACAAAACATAATAAGCACTTACTTGTCTTTAAGAAAAAGGAACGTAAAAAGTTTTTCTTTTTCCATGTCACTTTGTGACTCATTGGACTTATTTCGTGGAAAGTAAGTAAATTATAGAAAAAAAAAAACAACTTGAGCTTGTCATGTGAACGTGAATATAGAATTGTTTTGTTTCCGTTAGTCATTATGATTTTCGATACAATTTCCATTGAGGACGAAAATCAAACACACACGGATCGGTCAAGTGTTTGATTTTGTACCATTCGGTTTATGTTATATATTCAAAGCTTATTACAAACGAAACGATTACTTTAATGACAAATTTGCATGTTAGTTGATCCTATACGGGCTTTTCAATGATTATGTAATTTTAGACATACTATATTTAAATAATTACACATAATGTTAACAGAGATTTAAAAGAGTGTTAAGTTTCTTGCTGATTCTTCTCAGTCAATAACTACTTTCCGAATCTTGCATTTATAACAAATAACGATTTAAAAGTGCTTGTAAAAAAGTCTATTGATATACAATAGATGATTCGAACATGAATATATTATTTTATATATGTTTATATTATATGCCTTAAAATATATTAATTATATTTCTTAAAAAAAATAATATAATGGTTAGGGCCTATTTAACCTACATAACATCCATCATTGACGATTAATTAAAGACAAATAGATACATTTATGAACTGAAATTTTATGATAATTTCACTATCTTTATCGCGCGTTTCATAAAAGCTACTTTTGTTAAAAAACTTCTCGAGAGACTAGACATGTAGGCTTCTAAAATTATCCAGTCGTGATAAAATTTATTCCCAATGTATTGGCAGCGAAAAATATACGTAATTATAATGTAACAACAGAAATTAAAGAAAAAAAAAATCCCCTATGTTCCAGGAACGGCTTGTACATACAGCATCCCGAATTTTAAATGAGCTTTCTAAAATAAACATAGAGAATACATCGTTATTCGAATCAAACGAAAATAACTTCGCCGATAAAGCGAACTCGCCAATTGGTTTAGCTTCAATACAATTATAGAATCTTAAATATATAGATTTTACTATGCAAATAATTAAAGGTTAAGATAAAATAAAATATAAAAAATTAACTTCAATTGTGACAAAGTTATTTCAAAATAATACTTAAACTACTGTAAATATTAAGATAAAATTTCTATAGCACCAATCTGTAAGTCTTTCAAATCAAAAAAGAATTTACCAAATAGTTTTTTTTTATGGTTGAATTTAGAATGGTAACCCCGCCCGCGCTATCTGTATACATCGACGAGTCACCAGTGGAAGATGATAGGTGAGAATAATTGCAGGTCAGTTGGCCTATCATGATGAGTTCGACAATAATTAATCATGATGGTTTCCAGGGAGAACTGCGTAGCGTTCGACCTGAGTGGGTATATCAGAGGGAGACTTTGTACAAAAGTCGTTTGCTTGGGTACCTCTGTCCCATTTGTGTTTCTACCGTAAAGCAGTTGTGTTTGCATGGCTGTGTTTCGGTTTAAAGGGTGGGATATGGCGTGAATTTATTGGGTACAGAGGAATAACACCCGAGTCCTCAGGAATGGCAACACATGGGGGGTATCATGGGCGAAACAGTATATTCTGTTATGTCCATGGTATTGCTAATGTCTATAGGCGACGGTTACCACGTTCCATCAGGTGGGCCGTCAGCTTGTTTGCCATTCTAAGTTGAATAAAAAAATATATTGCTAGCAATGGGACTAATAGACCTCATTACTAACAATCCCTTTCCCTCTCTAAATCTACTATATTATTAACTAGGTTTAGAACTGCCGTAGTTATGAGGTAAGTAAAAAATACAACCGAACTGAGAACCTTCTTCTTTTTGCAGTCAGTTAAAAAATAGCGTTTTCAATTAACTACAAGATGTTTGTTTAGTTATATAATAAAATAAAATTAAAAATATCCGAATTTAAAATGCGGAATTGGATAGATTTTGCTTTGCAAAAATATTCTGCTCCGCAAAGAAAAATGGAAAATTCAATTTTATGAAACATTTTACTAAGTTAATTACAGGAGCAAGCACTACGGGAGTAAATCCTATAAAATACAGTGGTATCTAACTTGTACAATGGAATTGTAACTAGATAGTATCTGTACATGGGAAATATTTAAGGAAAAATAATATGAGGAACTTTAAAAGAACTAATAAAAGACAAAACAATAATTCTAGAAATTTCCCTATCTGTATATTTGTTCTGGCAACACGCATAAAATTACTGCATCAAATTAGAGGCAGTTTTCACAGTTGTGTTTATGAACTTTAAAATCTAGTGTATGTTTATCTTGATACGCCATCCAGAAGTCTATTTCATTGGTTTTCTTACTTCTAAAATCCACACGTACGAAGTAGAGAACATAAAACAAATTTTAACTGAAATAATTATCAAAATTACTTAAATATTGAGGAAGAAATGCAGAAAACTGCTTAAAGTGAAACAAAATCTATATGTAAACGAGATATTACAAATATTTACAATATCTGCGAAATATTTCGTCGCTATGGTAACCTTTTTTTCTGGCCGTGTGGTCCCAGTATAGAATAGGCCACGTTCACATTCCTTTCACGTAGCTGCCGCATAAGAGGCGACTAAGGAAACTAAATAGTCGAGGAATGGGAAACACCGTCCCTTAAAACATCTTTAAAGCCTAACTGCGGTTGCCAACTCGCATGCCAAATATAGCAACTACTAGCAAAACCCCCCAAGGGCCTCCCCCTATGCTCTATATTTTGGCAGTGGACAATTAACGGCTGATTTGATGATACTTCAATATGTCAGTACGAGATTATATCAAGGCACTGACTGTATTAGAATTCATACATGGAAATGTTTGTTGTTTCCAATCGCCACCTCTTGTCTCCTTCAATTTCACCGATATTGACATTTTACGTTCACAAAGCTTATGTAAAAGCTGTTTGAGCTAAAGGATATGGTAATTTTATACTCTAGGGCGTGAGAGAATACGGAATATGTTGTGCTTTGACTTTGTCCCTGGCCCGTTGGATGCGTGGATTTATTGAAAACACTATTTGAATATTTAGCAAAAACCCATGGGATTTTCATTAGCATGATAATAAAATTATTTTACATAAAAATCCCACGCGATTTTTTAACAACAATTGCAATAAATAATGCAATGTTTAATCTGTAAACGTAATTTTTTTTTTTTTTAGTACGTTTGTTCCGTTGTGGAACAGGCTAAGGTCGGAGACCATGCTGCCTAGTCTTTAAAATGATAATTTGTCTGGAATCTGTAAACGTAATTTTTCAAACTGCTATTTTTTTTTGCTGAACAAAATCTTGCTTGTAAAAAAAAAAAACACTTATAGACACACGATTCCGCGTTCTAAATTCAAATGTTTTTAATCTAATGTGTTTATAAACCTCCTCATCGTTAATCTGTCCTTTGTCAACTACTAAAGACATTTTTTTTTGTTAACAAATTAAACGTGATTGTTTCAATTATGTATAAATTTATAGATTAGTCCAAACAAATAAGAAGCAGATTTGCACTACCCTTATCTTTAGATAATACAAGGTAATTCGACCTCCTTGAAGGTTAAAGTGTGAGGGCTCTAAGGGTTTCAATTAACACCTCGTGACAAACAAACAATTGTATGGGTCCATACACATGTTGAGATAATAATCGACCCGGGGCTGTAATACCCTACGGATAGATACCGAACGTTTCATAAAACACTTGGACCCTTGCTTAATAAACGTAGGCCGCGATAATTGGCACAAAGATAAGAAGAGAAAAATATAATTAATTTTTAATTTTGCATGTAATTAAAATTTATTATTTTTAATGTTATTCTTTATTAAATCTTCGTCCCCGTCAGAACGTCTCAGACTGTTTTGTAAGTTAATTACAAAACCCACTGGATGAACATTAATTTATTTATATATAAGAGCGACGTAGGAGTTTTTGTTCTGTATAGAAAACCAGTGAATAAATGTAAAATAATAATAATATGAATATTAATCAAAAGTTATATTGGGACTATATTCTGAGGAAAAAACAATAAAAATGTATTTGCAAGTCCTACTTACGCATCGAGTGATATTTAAAGGAATTTAGTTTAAATTTTTAACGTTATACTAAGTCTAAGGTTTACACAGTAGTGATATAACTTGGATACTGTGATATACGGAAACAACGACAAAAAAAAAACAGAGCCATGAAAGAGATAATCCAACCTTAGAAAGTTTCAGTATAGACATTTTGTCTACAGAAAGCCCTAAAAAATAGGCTGCCTAATTCCAAAATGATTAATTAAGCCAAACCCTAGCGCACCCAGATTTAACGATTGATTCCCAGCGTGTACACTGGAGTTCATTGCGTTAAATTTCGCTACTCGATCGCTGACAGTCCGATGATGTTGCATCCGGATAAGCTGAGCCTGTGACGTTTCAATCTGTCAGTTTGATGTTTCATGAGTATGATGTAGGGCTGATGATTTTTTTCACTTATATTATCAACCCACTTGCAAAAGAGGTTCTCTAATTATTATTTGTGCATATCTTCATTACCAATTTCAAATATTATTTTTTCAATCCACTGAGTTAACTCGCATGTTGATCCTATAGAGACTAAACATGTCACGATTCGATTCGTTTTTCTGTACAACAAAATTCCACTAGTAGGTATAAATGTGGAAGCTCGCGAAAGAGCTGATGTTTGATTACTCAATTACATACACTAAACGGTTGAACTAAATTAAATGAAATTTGGTAAACAGTTGGACTATATTCTACATTAGCACTCAGATTACTTTTGACTTGACTGCACATGCAATCTGTACTGTAGGATGCAGATAGTTTCCATTAAATATTTTACATTCAAAAGGTGACATGTTCACTTTGTTGAAAATCAATACAAGTCTCAATACAGTTCCTGTTTATGAACTATTAATAAGCCTTTGACAAACTCAACTATTCCTTACTTAGGAAAATTACATTTGCAATCAAAATCGTCTTTAATATTCAATCACTCTATATAAAGACATAAATAGAATCAATTAATTTATTGCTACACTTTACGTAGGAGGATAATGTTACTGTCGTTATTATTCACTTTGTGGTATTGCAAGGATCAATTCTTGGGCCTTATTATATATTAATCATTATTACTACATCAAAAAGAATAAAAAAAATTTACATTAATTTATAATATTCACGATATAAAAATATGATGATAATGTCTTAAATTTCAAGTTCTACAAAACTGATTCTAAGAACAAGTTTCACTTTTTTTTTATTTGTAACTATTACAAGATGTTTTATTCATTAGGTACCGACCTAGTTATTCTCTACTTTGTTTTATAATTTGTTTTTTTGTTAGCATGACCTTGTTTTGTTAGAAACATGTTTGTATAATATTTGTGTTATTTTACTACAGCTATTATTTACAACAACTGTTACAAATTATTAGAAACAGTTTTTGTAATTCATAGGTCTGTATTAATTATTCTGAAAATACAATAATACCTATGAATTTTCATATATTTTAATAAACAAGCTTAATTCCTTTACATTTCGGACTATATATGTATTAATTGTTTCAGATATCAATAAATACATTATTTTGCGAACTGTAAAATAAAAGCACTTTTTCAATTAATCTTTATTTTTTTATGTATGTTAAGTATCTTATAATACTAAAATAATTTGGATCATTTATGCAATTAATCGTTTTACTTCCAAATTTGTCTTATATCGATTTTTCTACGAGGGAAAATGCTGTTTTCTTGCGGAACAAAAATTAATCTTTTTAATACAAAATTTACTGGTTTATAGTTAACTATTACCACCAAGTGGACCGTTAATTTGTGCGTCACTCCGAGTGGTACAAAAAGAAAATAAATGATCAATATAAGAAGTTGCGGGGCATAGTTCGTATGGGTCGCGTGACAGACGGCGGTTACAACATCACATTATTTATTTACCGATGACATACGGACTATCAAGCAAATTGTACATACAATATGAACAAGGGTCGCCAGCCAGAGTATTATCTTTTATAACGCCCTGCTCTATAG